AATTACGATTTATTTCCTTTAATTGAGATCAGTTGCATGAACAGAAAGAAAGAACCCGCGAAAAAATATGCCGCGCTCCAGCGTTTGGCTTCTTAGCACAATAAGTAGTAGAGCCCGTTTTTCTGTAATTTTCATTTGACTGATCCTTTTGTACAAATAACCGTATTCTACTTTCCTCTAGCCGTATCAGTTTTATGTTGGAGATATCTTCGGGCACTGGGCAAACTGCCACTGGGAAGAAAAGAATATAAGGATTTGCGCAGAAATGAATTATTTATTTATTTATTTATTCGATTATTCAATTATGTAAGTTTTTTCTTTTTTTGGCTGTTGCTCTACTTTTAATTTCTTTTCTTTTTTTTTTTCGTGTACCTACTCGTGATGTCTAGTCACGCATCAATAGTCAGAGAAAAAATGACTTTTTACTTCTTCTCATCAATTAGTCAATCAGTTTCGTTTATTTCTTACCTCAATACCGTTATTAAATCTGATCGGTTTGTCATTTTCTAGCTGTTGACGAAACATATAGTCCATATCTTCTGTTGTGTACCTATAGCTATAGGAATTTAATAATCAAACTAAGTTTGTCCTAAGTGACCAAGAATGTGATTTTTTTTTGTGACTTGTAATGGAGTTGTCAGGCTAGATTATCCTCCATTGCCCATGGAAGCTGTACGTTTGCTGTGAGAAATATTTTTTAAACTAGTTAAATTGTTTTGATAAATCTGATCAAGAATTTATACTTTGCGGAACAGTTTTACTGGAAAACAGAGTATAGTACAATAGCTAAGGCTAGATCCGTAAGCAAGCCAGAAAGCCCTAAAGCTGTAAAAATTAACTTTCTCCCTGGATACAAGGTTTTTCGCTTTGCTGAAGTGTTGAAGCTGTTCTGTTATTTTTTTGAAAATACTTTTCAAGAATATTATCAACAGTGAGAAAACCTATTTCAGATTGTATTTATCTGTTCCTAAATTTCTTAACTTCAATTGAGTTGTGACACACGTCTCCTTGCACCTAAGAGTACAAGGACGGTTGAAGTTTTTGTGTTGTGTCATGTTCCCCCTCTTTTTAGCCACAGTTGCATTATTTGGTCAGTTGTATAGGTGTTACTAAAATAAATAAAAACCGCAATGTCTTTCCCTTCTTTGCTATTGTGAATTTTCTTATCAGCGTTGTATCGTCTTTGACTTTATTATGGTCTCTGCAAAGTAAGGATGATGATACGTTCTTACTTTGTGCATTCATTTCAACCAAAAATTTGGGATTATCAAGTTTCATGTGGTTGTAGGATTTGAGTATATTACTTACCTTACTTCCGTTTGCTGTCCCGGAAACTTAAGGGAAAAAAAAAACGCTCATTAGATACGTGAAACAGTTTTAACTGTATGGGTTTGCACTGTTAATTGCCAGCTATAGTTTCGCCCACCTCCTTTTGATACAGAGAGTCAGGTTGAACAACGAAAGAAAATGCACAGTGTTCTGTTCTTAGAAATAATATTAGATCAAGAGGTAGAATTCATTAGTTGTAACACTTGCCAGTGTAGAGTCTGAGATGCTTTGCATTGTTTCATCGGATAAACTTGGCAGAAAGTGTTGAGGTGTGGAAGTACTAAGGAAAAGAAAAAAAGAAAATGACTTCAGAAGCTAATTTTTTGTATCGTATGAAGGGAAAATTAGATGATAAAAGATTAAGAAATTAGGTGAAAGTACCGACAATTATTGCCTCCCTCCAAGGGAAAAATAAACAAAATTGTTTCTTTAAATGGCCTTGGTAAGATAGAATGGTAATTCAAGGCAACCTATGAAGTAAGACTGAAGATCACCATCTGTCACTGGAGTAAAATCTAATTAGTAGTGTGTGAATGTGTTAATTGTGGAAATTAGGACAAGTGGCTTACCCGGGGTCTTTTTCTTCAACTTCCTGAAAGAAACAAAATAAAAAAACCTTTTACTGACAAATATTGTGGGACACAATAATAAACATCTATTTCATAAACATAAATTATACTTCAACTCGTTATTAACTACTCTAGACAGAAGGTGCATGACCAGCTTAATCTGGCTTTGAACAGTTTTTCTCTATCTTTAGGACTGTAAAAAATAAAAGTTTTTTGAGTTAGTTAATTGTAACAATTGTCTCAAGTGGTGTCAGGGAGTTGTAAGGGAGGTAATTAAAATAAGGAGAAGTGGCTTGCCCAGGGTCCTCGTCAACCTCCTGAAATAAATAAGATAAATAACCTTTCAGTGCAAAATACAAAGGGACACTCAGTAAACACCCATTTCATAAACTGTACATCAATTAGTTATAAAGGCAGTTAAAAATTTTACGCTGCTATGGACAGTAGCCGTTAGGCAAACATAAACTTAAGTTGATATTGTTAAAACAGTTGAAAACTCACCACGGATTCTACTTTTCCTTCGTTGGAGCTTTAAATAACACAGGGGTTTTGTGTTAATTTAAATGCAGTCGTTTTTGTGCAGTGAAAAACTTGAGGGGTGTAGGAGAAGCTATGAAAGTAACTCTGAGGAATGTGGAACTGGAGGATGAGTTTGGTTCAGTCACAGTTATTTGCTTCTGTTCAAAATCTGCTGTATAAGTGGTGGGTTGGCACCAGTATATTACCTATCCTTACCTTAAAGGGTTGTCCAGTTCCTGTAGAGCAAGAAAAGTTATTTGTTACACCTGCTCTTTCACTTGAAAATCTTTTGCGGTACTTAATCTCATTATGTATCGCATAGCAGCAAGCACACCATAACAAGGAGATAAGCATTTCCATTATCTTTAAGAATAGGGCTGCTTACCTGAGTTTTCATGTAGTCTTCAAATTTGTCAGAATATTGAATTAGTATTGAATATTGAACACTTGAGTTCAAGATAAGTGATTTTCCCCACCTTTAATCTAACCATAACCAAAGTTTCAGAAGTGAATAATAATGAAAATTGTGGCTGCTGCTTAACATACCTAATACCAAACCCCAGTTCTTTCTAAATAGAGGGAACAATGGATACCCTTCATTCCTCCTACTGGACAGTTTTTTCATAGCTCATCTTACTTACCATAGGCTCTTCATTTTGTGCCATGGTTGAAATATCTGAATGGGTGAAAAAGCCTCAAGTTATTTTTCTTCTAAATATTGTTTTCATCGTAATAGGGTAAATCGAGTTTTAAAAATTTTCTTTGCTGTATTGCTTTTGCAATATAGTGTCGAAATTCGGATCTCACTGAAAACCCTGAGTTACACGGAAATAAAGGGTTGTATTCAGGACACTTGAGCTTTCAGTTCAGTTTATCATGTTTTATCCATGCCAATCTTGTCCATCTTCAAACAACCTCATCCTTTGTAGGCTGTTTATGAATTCCATAAGTTTAAAAGAGCTGAGAAATGCTTCACTTTGATTCACGAGCAGGTTTTTTTGTCAGTAAATAGTCGTCAAGGAAAATGAAGAGCGGGAAAATTGTGTGTATGTACTTGAAGTAAGCGTTAATGAAGCATCCCTGTTCCCAGACCGCTCGCCAATTGGAAGAGCTTGTTTTGGTTTGAAATGAAGGAAAAGGGATATTTTTGAAAAGCAAAATAAATTTATTACCTCAGAATAACCAGAGAAAGCTTTAACGTTAATATATCCACATTATGAGGTGTAAGGTAACTCTGGAAATCTCAGTTTTTTTTTTCAATCGCTCTCAACTTTGTTTTATCGAAAACGTTAATCATTACAGGCGTTCCACTTTTTGACCATAAACGTGAATTTTATGTCTTGTAAAGGAGAACGTGTGTGCATCGGATGTTAGATTTGTTTTCATTCGTGTGCAGTCAGTCGTGTAGCGCTAATCAATCCCACGATGCGTGAAGTTAAATCAGTCGTCGCCTGTCAGTTGTCTGATGCCCATTGATCTGTGACTCTTTTAAACCACAAGATTTCACTTCCCGTCGAAATGCAGAGAAAAAAGGCGCTTCCAGCGCCGATGCGTACATGTATATAAATGTCTTAATGGTCTCACGCATCACGAATTAACATTAGTCACTCAGCAAGAACAGCATAGTTACAACACAAGAAATAAAGCAAACCTCAAAATTCCATCCGTTAAAAGAAACTGGGGTAAACAAAGAACTGGCTATCATGCTGTAAGTGATTTTAACTCGCTGGACAAAACTATACGAGCCTCTGATAATGTAAATATTTTGAAGCGTCAGATTTTCAATTCATTGATTTAAGTTTTGTATTACACATAAGATACATTAGTTTTTAGTAGCATCTTTTAGCATTTTTATTCATTGTAAATTTTTAATTTTTAATTTTTGAGGTCCTTTTTGTAAACCACTTTTTAGTGAAAAAGTTTCCTCATTAAAGATTGTCATTATTATTTTGTAAACATTGCATCATAGGCCAAAACGTTTCATTCACAAAGACAAAAGAAGAAGGAAATCTTTACCTTGTCTTATTCATTAGTGTGAAAAGGCTTTATCTTCCGGAGATGATTCTCTCTCATTAAGCAGCAAATTTTTATTTAGGGCTGACTTCCTTAAGTCTTGGCGCTGAAACAACGCAATTGAATTATTGAATGCCGCTATTTATTACTTACTACGTGTAAGTGAATGGGCTGTCTTTGAAAAATGTTTATTTGCTCAATCATTCTACCGCAAACAGTGGACGCGCTTTGTTTTTGTTCAACTGTAATTTGAGGCCTTTTATATAAGGTTTCTATCGGTTTTATTGAGTGAAAGTATATTTACAGTAAACGCACTTAAGAGAACTAATCACTTATTAAATAAAAAGTACCATGAGTCAGTGAAGCAGAGCCATGTAAACAACCCGTGGCCGTAGAGAATGCTGCGTCAGGATTGGCTTAAGTTGCCAAACTTGAGCCAATCCTGACGCAGCATTCTGACGGTTAAGAGATAGTGGCGTGAGTTTGTATAGAACCAGTCTTGAAACTTACTATTGCAAATCCGAATTACTTTAAACACTCGGTAGAAAAGCGCTTAAATAACTTTTTTGGTTCTTGTCTATTTATATGTTATTAATTAGCAAGTATCGAGTATACGACGGATCTACAGACTCTCTTGAACTGGAAGTAAATGTGACGATAGCAAGTAGCACTCTGGGCGATTATCATTTCCTTGGGTGTTCCTAGTTGTTTGCACGTCAATGTTTACTCTTTCAGTTTCCTGCAGAGAAACATGGAAAGTTACTTGAGTAGATTGATAAATAACCCTCGCCAAAGAGAGCTGAAAGTTTTGCTTAGAGTTTGTTGTTTCTTTGATGTAGCCTTTTGACGTTTGTACACGACAAGGTAATAAGAGAAACAAGAAACAAACTGTCCTGATAACAGTGGGGATATGGGTGCTGCGTTATAAGATTTTCTTCCAGCTAACGCTTACCTGATCAGCCCCTAACATTCGGTACTCACGTGGTCGCAATGCAAACCTGCAGTTTTTGGAAAAAAAAAGTTTTAATTTCTTGCTCAAAACATATCCGTTTTGCTCACGAGTTTGATTTCAGTGATAGCTTCTTAGAGCTACATAATCATTTAGTTAGTAACAGCTACTTTTGTTTAACATAAAAAAAACCGAGAACAGTATAGGTTACCACGTGTACTACTCTGTCTTTCAAAGAAAAGTCACTTTACATTGTTACTTACAAGTTAAAGATTTGTATGTCGTTTTGCTGTGAACATTGGGTCACTATTTCTCCTCGCTCAGTGAACCACACTTCATGAGAGCCCTAATAAAGTAAAAAAAAAAAATGATGAAAGTTTTGAGAGGAAAGGGCCCATGTGATTGAAGGAAGATAGTGGCGCCCATGGTATTTTCGCCGAGAAGTAGTAAGCTTCTAATTCACCTGCTGCTAACTAGTGCCTTATTTTCAAAACCAATTGAGGATGAAACTCTCATTTTCCCAATTTAGTCAACCACAATGCGATTATACTTAAACTGTAACCGGACAAAATCTGAACTTAGCCGGTTTATGACCGATAATATAGCTCTTCCTTTGTATGATAAGAGTAGTTGAACACTTATTTTATTTTATTCATTTTTTTTAATAGGGAGACCAGAATTCACCTTTCTCTCAAAGTCTAATCCAGTTGTAATTCCACCCAACGGAAAGAAGGATCTATAGACCATCTGCAATTGCTGGGAAGCCATCTTTCTTGATCCTACATCGAATACAAAATGGTGTGCTTAACAGTATTTTATCACCGTAATTTATAGAGTTTATCCCTTTCTCCTCTCATTGGCTCTTGATCATGAAACGAGATTAGACGAAGTGGACCTACATATGGTGCTCAGCATTCGCTTGTGGAATCGCTTTTTATTCATGCCTGCCAGACAATGTGAACTTCGTCGCCCGGTTGATCCATGATATTTTGAATTTTGTTTGAGGCTAGTGTAGCTCATGTGTCCGATTTTTCTCCTTTTCTTTTGTTCTTGTATTTTTCGTTTTCTCTCAGTTTGACTGAGGCAAACTCCTAAGAGTGTGAGTATCGCGGAACACTGTAAGTGAATGGAAACCGCGAAGGGAAAAGGAATCCTTAATTGTATTCAACACCTTCACTCAATCTTCTTCCTGTGTTATGTGACACTGAATAGATTTACCTGATTTTATTTTTCAGATTTTTGTTTGATGTAGCAGTCAACAACTTTTTAGCTGTGTTATGATACTTTGTTGAGCTTTTTTGGATGTAAAGCTAGAACTTGGGGACATCAACAAATCCGTGAACGTTGACGAGTTCAAATACAGATTCATCAGCGTGGAGACAGGGGATACGTCCTTGTTTTAGAATGTTTAAGAATTCAAAAATAAAATCTTACATAAAGACATGAAAGGCAATAGAAGCACTTGCTTTACCTTTTAGGAATCAAAAATCGAAAATAACCAGAGAAAAAATTGCCAAAAAAACCCTGATTAGTATTATGATAGAAACAGAGCCACCAGAGTTACCCATAAGAGACATGGTACAGTGTGATAGCATGCCGTTGTAAAACATCAGTAAATAGACTCCAAGACCACACGAAATCCTTCATTTCGATGTTACAAAAGGAAAAAATCTGTTTCCTTTCGTCCAATTTGTTTCGCCACGGTTTTAAGACAAATCAGTTCTTGGTATTTATTCGGGCTTTACTCAGAAAGCCACGCTAACATAGGAGTATATCCGAAAGGGTTTTTCGTACACGAAAAAGCCGCGTGTATGCTTTCTTTTTGTGCTCTACGTGAAATTGGATGAAGATGATGATTACCTGATGATTATCTAGAAAATGTCGCAAAATGTGGTGGTGAGAAACGTAGTAGATAAAAATCGTCGGAACAGAGTTACCCATAGGACACGTGGTTCAGAGTGAAAGCATGCCATTCTAAAACACGTTAGTGACTTGACTCCAAGACCACACAAGGCCCTTCGTTTTGATGTTTTACAGATGGAAAACATCCGTCTTTTTCATCCAATTTGTTTCGCCACGGTTGTGAAACAAATCAGTTCTCGGTATTTACCCGTGTTTTACTCAGAAGTCCATGCAGATACGAGAGTATGGCCGAAAGGGTTTTTCGTAGAGTTGTTTCTAAACACGACAAAGCAAGTTGTTTGCTTCTTTTTCAGCCCTACGTGAAATTGAAGGAAGACCTTATGATTATGAAGAAATGTCGCAAAGATAGGAAAATCCCTACTTACCGCACGCTTGGAGAATAGAGAGGGATCGAGATGAGCAACAAACACTGTTTCTTCGAAATGGGTTGTTTCATTTTCCAGTCTGGTTTCTCTTCACCAGTTCCTCATTGTTAATTTCATTGGCGGAGGCCACCTGGTCCGGTTATACCTAATATCCCTTACCCAGCCTCTGGCGCCAAAGTGGTAAGGTCCAAAATAAGTCTCTTTCACAATGGCGGCGACTGGCGTTTTTCCCATGAGTGCTGTTATTTTCCGTATATTTCTTGTACGTCAAAGTCTCCGCGTAGAATGCACTTCTGAACTGCTTATAACATACATTTATCAACTCCGAAAACAATGTCCTTTCAAGCGGTAATTACAAGAATTATTATCTGAACGTCACCGCGAAAAGTTTCCGTCTTCGGAATCTTCGATGTATTCATGACCCCTGGTAGAGTTTTGTCAACTTCGCTACGCTTCAAAATCGTTAGAGTACTTTCTTCGTGAAACAGTCTAGCCACCGCGGAAGTTCTTCTTGTACTTACAGTGAGTAAAACCTGCAGCGGTCAAAGTTGAACGACTGTTACAGCAAATGGATGTTGGCGAAATTTTGTCGTTGACTTTAGCGGTCTTATAATTAATAGCAGTACACTGTTGAGAAATTTCACGGATACAACCTTGATAATATTGCTGCGCGTTTGGGAAATTCCCTCCCAATCGGTTGATCTTTCACTGATGATGACGTCATCTGAGAAATTTGCGCTTTTCGAAGCGCTCTTGAGCCACTGATGTGAAGCTTTGTTTACTCACAAGAGGTATTTGACCGCAGCACAAGTCTTTCAGAGAAGCGAAAATGTTTCTAAAGACAAAATAGTGTTCGGTCAAGTATTGAATTTTAAACGCGTCACAGGCCCAGGCTTGCATTTTTTTTAATGAGCTAAAGAATAGATTGCTGTCAATAAATGGCAGTCACAACAGCGAGAGACAGTCGATTGGTTACCTAGAAAATGCCTCGATTGCAGAATGGCGTAGATTATGCTTTAAGTATGTATTATCGTTTCCTTGCAGAAGTTTTCCTGTTTACTCTTCTTCATTCGATAGCCACCAATGGCCATAAGATATTGAAATTAAAGGGAATATTCTTGGACTGAGACATTGTAATCTTTCTTAGTTTAGGATCAAGTTGCTATGCACTGTGATTGTTATTATTTTTACATTCTTCAATTTGGTTCCTAAGAGGCATGTAATGTCACCGACTCCTGAAGAATTGAGAAAGAGTAACAAACATTATTTTCGCAGTGTCTCTTTATAGAAAAACGTGAGTCAGCAAATGCTCTGTGTGTCCTTTAAGTGATTTTTAGATTCCTATTTTGGGAATCTAAAAATCGCTCGAAGGACACACAGTTGCGTTAATTTAGTCATGTCATTTTTTACCGGCATGTTTACCGAAGCGGTTCCAAGCTGGACTGAATTTGCATTTCTTGATGGTTGTATGGTTTTTTTTTTCCAGTGCTCACTTACATATATGTTGTCAAATCATTTTACTCATAACCAGGTCACCTTTGTGTAGAATAAAAATCTTACAGCAGCTCCATAGTGACCCTGCTAGAGCGAAAGGGAACTTGAACCAACCAAAAATTCATGCATGATTGCGTCTGGTCTATCGGGTAGATTTGACTAGCTGGGAGGGAAGGGAAGGGGTAAGGGGTCAAACAAAGACGAGAGAGACACGGACGTACGGGATAGGCCTTAAGGAACACTAGTGCTTTGTTCATGCCGTCACGAAAGTGGGTCGAGATTATGCATGCTAAATTGGTCTTTTTCGAGAAACTCTGAGCCTCAGTTTTGAAACGAGGCATGTGAAAAGCCTTGGTTCTGAATATAATGTCCTTGTTGTTATGAAGGTAAACGCACCGAAGTGTTAAGTTTGATTTCATTTTGAGAGTGAGATGAATTTGCAAAGGGGCCAAGCAATCCTTGATTGTAGTCTTATCATTCGGTCTGTTTTCATGCGAGTGATAGACACTAGCACACATAGTCAACAGAGACCGAAATACAGAGCAGGGGAAATACAAAAGATGGCTTCAGTCTTTTCCTCTCAGAATTTTTTCAGTTTTATAATGGGGACCTCCTTTTATTGTAGGAGCGATAATTTTGGCCACGTCCACATGAGATTCTGGTACCTCCTGAGGGAAATTTTTACCAACGACCGTCTTCGTCCTTGTTAAGGGAGATTACTTCTCAGGTAAATACATTTGCAAGTACTTGCACTGAGCTGTCAGGGTTTTAAAACAGTCAGTTATCCTCTGACTCCTGTAACTTATGCTTGCAAACATGGAAAGTTGTCCTAGTTCTGAAGCCTTGGCAATTCTACCAAGATAACTAGATAAAACAAAAATCTGTTATAGAGCAAAACATTTTGCCGCTCTTTTCTCAAAAACTCATTCTAAGAAATGCACCAAATCCTTCGTACAAAACCGAGACGACGACAAGATTACCGGGGAGAAGAGAGAGCCACATAAGCACTTGATGTTGACACTTCTTTAATTTAAGTTCATGTTGACATAAGGCTCTGAAAACCTACAACTGCGAGCTATCTTACAATAGAAGTCCTGCTCAAAGTCGATCTTTATCTTCAACATGAACGAACGAAAGCAAAACGACTTAGTACTTTGCTTAACTAACAACGGATATGACAGATACCAGTTGTCAAATGCCAAATCAGAACTAACTTGAAGGGAACCATAAACTTCACAAAAACCTTTCTTAATTTTTGTATCAACAGTGAGTTAAAAAGTTAAATTGGGATATCTTCTGATTCCTTAGAAGCAAAACACCGAAGTTCTAATCAACTTCGTTTCCAACTTTTCTTCGATCAATTTAAATTTCTTTACAACTCTTTTAAGAAGTCGGCAAAAGTGCTTTCATAACAAACTTCTTTTGATTGGTAACATTACTTAAATTATGTTTCCTTTGAATTGCCCAACATTTTGATTAATAATCACACAATTAATTCATGGAATGAAATTATCTTAGAGTTAGCTTGAGATGCAAATCTTATTGCAATAATAATATAATAAAGGGGGGACTTTCCTCTTATAAAAAGTCGAAAATAGGAACTACAGGATGGAATATCAAAGAAGAGAAAAGAACCTGTGGAGAATCTAATTTACCCATGACTAAAAAAATGTTCTGTACTATGTTTCTAAATGATGCACACAGCCCTTTTTCATGGCTCGGCTATTACAAAAATTAAATTAATTACTATTGCACTCAAATCTACTAAATTGATAACATTTGTGTTTGCTTTCATGATACATCTCGCCTAACTAATTATCAGTTTACAACAATTATCCTTAATCTAACGTATCATCTGTTTTAGGCTCCTGGTTTGGACGTTTGGATGTTTTCTATGCCCAACACGACTAAAATTCTCTATTCCACGATATTTTTTTTGATAACATGTAAGTTTGAAGTTTCAGATTTCATTTCACACTGACAACATGATAGCCATACAAACACAACCAAGAGGCTCAGCAATGCCAACAGGGCCAAGAGGAATTCTTGGTTAGTGCTTTCTACAAGCTAAAAAACAAAATAAAATGTTTTTTTCTTCTTGTACGTTAGCTAGTTGATTTTCATCAAAAAATCTACTGATGGATAATTTTCGTACCATTACGGCATCATCTCAGTTTATCGGAAAACTGGTGATCATTATCATTTATGAAATCACAACTAAAGTGAACAAAAAACAATCTCTATCATTTTCCCAAAATTTGAAAGAGGGAAGCATTTCATTGCTTTCTTTGTGAAAACTATGATTTGGACTCTACAGCTAGATGCTTGACTTATGCTGTCAGTGAAATATACAAAGATCTTGCTTAAATAATCGAAACGATCATCCCTTTACTCGCTCCTATTAAGCCATTATAGCAAGGCCTCTTTTTACAGTTTGTACTCACTTTTCCGCCTTCAGGTGCCAATGTATCACTTCCTGATGTCTCGTACCAACTTCTGTTTCCACTGGAAGAAAAAATGTGAGTTTGTGAGTTTCTTCTTTGGGAAGATGTTTAGGAGGATATTTAGGAAGGTGTTGACGATCGAAGCTATGTTTTTAGGAGCGAGCTAAAAATTATTTACATTATATATCGCATACTCCCACAATAAAAACGGAATTTTTGGTGGGGGGTGCAGGGGAGGGGTGAGGGAGGATGATAAAAGATGCTCAGAAATTAAAAATGAGCGTTGAAATGACCGCCAATTGAAGAAGCTTTTGACTGTCAAACAAATTCTCCTTGTCAGCGCCAGAGAAATTGCACAGAAACAGTATGGAAAATATGCATACTGGTGTTATGATGTAAAAGGATGAATTTAAGAAATACAGTCATCTGTACTTGGTATCGCTTAGCTTGCAGACTGTAAGTGATAAAGGATTAAGTTATTTAAACCAGGCTTACAATACAACCAATCTTCGTTCGGATTCTCCTTGTGAACAAAATCTAAGAGGGTTTCCCCGTTCTGTCTGCCGATTTTCCTAAAAATTGAATAAAGAGAGAGAGAGAGAGAGAGAGAGAGAGAGAGAACTGAATAATAAGTCATAGTCCATTGAAAGTTATAAATAGTACACAGCGCAATATTTTCAAATCATATGCAGTATGATTCTTACTTATTGGACTAAATGACCTTTCAATATATGGTTCATGAAACATGAAGAGAGGAATTGGGAGAAAACACTCGTGTAACGCTAAATTGTGCTAACTTTCTTCATTTCAACCATGACGTTTGGTATATTTCCGTTATTTATTTTTCTCTTTCGCTTTATAGTCTAAAATAACAACTCTTACTTTTTTTTTCGGAGGGCACGGTAACGAATCCTGCAATCTGATTGGTTCTTTACCCGGTCAGTATTTTCCTATCTCTGCCCACGGGCCACGGTAACGCTTTCGTGAGTCGCCGAGTACATCCCAACTATCGTTGCCATTTTTCATAAATATATCTCGTTTTCCGGCTGGGCGGTACTTTTAAGCAAACACGTCGGTCACTGCCTCAGGCCGATAAATAACTTATGAATCCCCTCTTTCCCTTCTCTCAAATCACTTTGGTTGACAGAAAAATATTAGTTTCAGAATGAACTTGTATAAGCAATAGTGTCATTGCGTTGGTTGACAAGGGCCTAAAAACCGTCTGCAATTAATTTTAAGCGTTCAAAAAAGTACCTAGAAAGTTAAAACGTGGGGTATTTGGTTACAGTTAAACCGTGAACGATGGAACTTTCATTTGTTTAATATCAGAATTTTCTCAAACAATTTGTTCGTAGTGAAAGAGCGAACGAAGTTTTAATTTCAGTTCTACAACAAATATACGCTCTCGGTGAGTCTTTCCAAGTCCGTTCAATTTGGACATTTTTACCGCAAATTGCACAACAGAAACTGAAGGAATTTATTGAGAAAAGGCCGCGTTAAATCCCCTTGTGTCTCGTTGGAGTGTGCCATTCGAATTTAGTTCTTGTGGAGGAGAGACCAAATTTACACACGCCATTGCAGCAAACAAACCAGCAAACTCTCACAACTTCAAAATAAAAAATTTGAATTTACTCACAATTAATTTCCTCGCCGTTTACTCAATGAACAGAGGTAAATCTTCGTACATGAGAGTGAATATACTTTCCGTCAGATCATTGACTGTTTTTGAAGAAAACATTGTCGTGACAGTCCTTGCCAATGCAGTTCCGTTGTTTTTCAAATCTTCTTGCGCTTTTTTTTTCTTACGCGTTTCTAATTGACAGGTGTCAGATTGTGACAGATATTTGTAAAAATAATGTTTCAAAGTTGTTTGGAAGCCTTTGAAATTACCGCTATCGTTATGTTAATGAAAATGTTTCGGTGGGGCATCTCTCTTTAATTTGCATCACCTCCAATTTAACTACCATTTACTCGCTCAAAAATTGTTCAGTTTATGGAAGATCTTGCTGTATTTACAGCC